TATATGGGGGAAAGGCATGCAATTACATGAAATGGGGAGTTGCTAAAACCTTAAACCTAAAGCTGTTTTTAGCTGAAATATTGATAGTTTCTGCCCCCCCACCTCCCCCTTTCCCAAATGGTTACAGTCCAGCAATTATTTCAAGAGTTTGACTTTCAACAGCTATGAGCTCTCCCCTTTCCTAAGCCCCTCCAGTACTGCTGAGTGGACAAAAATTACAGATGCAAAAGCTGACAAATGAGTGCAAGGCCCCTCCTCTCCAGTGCCTCGACAGTCAGAGCTCCTGCCAAAACATGCCTGAAAGCTAGTGAAGAGACAAAGACACAAAGATTCCATTTTCTCAGGGAAAATAGGTTTCATGTAGAAACTACTGGGGAGAAGAATAGCACGCCGGCACGTGTGTCATTTCAAAAGCAGAGCAGGAATGAATGTTTCAAGGAAAAATGAAATCATATTTGATTATTCAGTAGGTTCAACAAATGCTGTTTAACACACAGCTCTGTTTAAACTGCAAAGTGCTAAAGGGGTGGGAGGGGGTAATCTCCCATAAAGCTGGAAAAACGTTTTCAGTCATGGAGAACCTTCAGTTCAACATGATCCAAGCTAAGAGTTCACTGCTATTGCTTGAAATCTTCTCCTGATAGTGCCATAATACACAAGCCACTAAAACAAAGTAAATTCAGCTTTTGTGGCTCAAATCTGTTTGAATGTGTTTACTACTAAAAGATTCTTCCCCCAGGGTGTCATTAATAAAGCTGCAACAAGTTTAAAGCCCTGGCACCTAAGCACTTCCAAGTCTGCAAGCTTTTCATAGCAAGTTTACTACTTTTGGCTTGTTAGGCTATCGTGACTGGCACTCATCACTGAGTTGGAATGGGTCTGTCTGTGAGCAGGAAGATCAGCAGCGAGGTGAACACAGGCAAGCAGAGCAGAAGAAAAAGCGAGAACGTGGTTTCTCTTTGAAACTAGTCAGAAAGTTGGGGAAAAGTGCAACCGGTGGCGGGAAGATTTCAGACGATTCAAGTTTCTCACTAATTTAAAAATAAAAGTGATAATTACAACAACAGCATATAAGATAAAAAACTATAAAATATTTAAAGTGTGTTTCCAATCCATTACAACTCAGTGGCAAAAGTAGCTTGAGCTCCCACTAGGCTGGCAATTCGGGAAGCAGAGATGTAAAATGGAGGTTTAGTCATCAGTAAGGATTTCAAAATGCTCCCAGCTCTGATAATTACTGCTTGTCGACATGTAGGGTTCTTACAAATTCTTTGCTTATGATAGCCCTTCTTTCTTTTCTTTAGCCTGCTTCTACATATCTGGTGGCAGAGCCACCTGAATTCAACGGAAGTCTTCCAGTCTTTCCACCAACACTCTTATACAGTACAAAAAACGTAGACGACATTACTTAATGAAAATTCTAAAAATATGATTAATGCCCTGAATTGACAGGCTTGCGATTGAGCATAAGATATAACTGCTGAGAGCTCTCTACAAGAGGACTCCCAGGGCCCCCGTGCCCTGCAGAGAGCCCCACTCTCTACCTCTCCTCACCCTCGCGTTCCTCCGCTCCCTTCAGCCCAGCCATGCACTGCCACGTCTCCCCTGCCCACCCAGACCCATGCCACAAGGATGTGGCACAGTTTTTACTCTGCAGCCTTGTGCTGCCTCACAGCCCTTGCTTTCCCTTCTGTCTGCTGCTGAAGATTGCTCTGGTGATAGGCTTAAGAAACAAAGGGCTGGTAATCCTTTGACTAACTAATAAAACCACTTCTAAGGTATCGACATTGATCATTATACAGGGATTGGGGCAGTCAAGAACAACATGTGAAAAAACAAAGATTATACTGAAAAACAGCCTTATTCTCCTTATTCTATCTGGGGCAAAGGGTGGAGAACACAAGAACAAACCTTGACCATTACATATTTAGTTACAAGTTTACATTTAATTTCCATTTTCAGTATTTATTACATCCCTTTGGCTGATCCCACTATCCTCCCACTTGGAAAGTCCAGGCGTTTTCTAAGTCTTCAAAGCCAGATAGAATCTAAACGCTTTTTGTTCTTTTTATGCATTTTACCATCCAACCATCATTCAGTCCCTCCTCATCTCGTATTCCTGGTGCTACAAAATCCTCTCATCTGCTCTGATAAAATGCCATCCTCCTCATGCACAGCTATTCCCATTTGGTCTCCATTCTCAACCAGACTAAACCCACTGTCACATTTTCGTTTTGCGAGCACAAAGGGCTGCTAAATGATGGCTCACTACAGAGACGTGAAAAAAGTCTGCATCTACCATTTTGATCCTCTTACTGATACTTTTTTTTTCCTCCTTCAAATTCTCATAAAGTGGATCCCACTCTCCTCCTGTACTCCACTCCCAGAAAGCAAAACACATAGAACAAGAGTGATTTGACTGCCTGATCTCCAGAAACACTGCAAAAGAAGGACCCGTAGTTCTGGGGTCAAACTCTGAAAGGACTACCAACAGCAGAGATATATTTAAAAAAAAAAAAAAAAAAAAA